CTCTTGTATACTGTAAAATTTATTTTGGTTAGCTTTAATTATCTCATTCATTAATTAAAGGGAAATACATATTATTAATCTACTTGGTTCTATACATTTACAAATGTACACAGTTGTATATTAAGAATTTAATTTCTTAATAATAGGAAAAGTGTGTTAAAAATTAATATTTAATAATAATGGCACCTGGTGTCAAAACCTGAAGTATTCCTACAGAAAAAATTTCAGTCAAATGTAAATTGCTTTTCATTTGCTATATGAGATTTTTACATAGTAAATAATAAATTGCAATTTATTAAACAGAATGATTTAATGATTTGTAATTATGATTACAAATAATAATCATGCAATTATGATTAAAAATCATTAAATAATCCATAATTAAATGGAAATCATTAAATCATACATAATTAAATGGATTAATAAAATATGTAATTTAATGATTATTTAATAATAAAATGTAATTTATATTAAAGAGCATTATTTCAGTAAACAGGATTTTGACTTAAATGTTCACAAACTTCCCTTAGAAAAGGCTTTACTTATAAAATTACCCAGAAAAGCTACCTTATCTGAGAAGATTTTCAATAAATCTCTATCGATTTTGAGGGCGATCAGGCACAGTCCCTCATCTTCAGGAGTAAAACATTTTTGCGAACATCTCGCTATCTTAAAAATAGCTCTATAAGTCTAAACTGCGTCCTTCAAATTAATCATGCGATCTTACATAACACTTAATGTAGATGCCTCTTGCGAAATCAAAAAGATTGTAAATCAATAGCAATAATAATAAATAATTGTAAATAGAAACTTTTTCTAATTCAAACTGAAACTTTTGACTCCCTTCCTTCTTCCTCTGAATCTTTCTCGCTTTCATCCTAGCAAGACGCTGCTGCAATCATCTAGACTCGCTTTTATTGCCATTGTATCATGTATTGATTAGTGCTCCTAATCCCTGCTGATGAAAAGTCAATATGGCTGCTCTCTGTGTTATTTTCCCAACATCAGTAGGTAGGATCAACAAGATTAATATTATCTCCTGCTTTCCAAAGTATGAAAAATGAGCTCTTGAATAATTTGACCAAGGACTCTTTTTATTGCTAGATTTTACTCAGATAAATACTACAAATGGAAGGATGAATTGATTAAAATTCAGGAAATTTAGTGGTACGGAGGATGCAGAAATCAGTACTCCCAATAATCATAACTCATTATAGCAGCTGAAAGGAAACTGAATGTTACCTGCTATTGTTTTTGTGAGTCAGACAAACTTCGGATGGCAGTCATGGGTACAAAAGTCCACCTGTGGTTTCAAGGTCTATGCTAGAGTGTTGCACTGGCATGTAAATATTGTCATTTCAGTCTCTCTCCAACTGTTAATTGGTGAGAAATCTTGAACATGCATTGTGCAAAGCAGGAGTTGAACATCCTGTGTATAAAGAATATGTAGGGCAATGTGAGGAACATTGGTTTGCCCATTGTTCTATTGAAAGGAGAGGGGACAGAAGCCCTGGATATATTCATAGCCATGGGCATTAAAACCTCAGTAATATGATAGTGACTGGTAAGAGTACCAGATATGCACACTACAGGTAAACAGGATGTGCATCCAGTGCACCTCATACTGTTGCTGGGCCAGCATAATGATGAAAAATGCAAGCTTCGAATATGCATTCTCCACACATGGATATGACTATCACAACATTTTAAAAGAAAAGTGGGACTTATTCGAAATGGTGACATCACACTTTTCATGAACCTGTGTTTGGTGCTGAACACACCATCAAAGGCATTGATTCCTGTGTCAGAGTGTGAAAGAAAGCTGAAGTAATGCTCACTTTACAAATAATCTACAATGCTTCAGATGCCATTGAGCCATACTTGATGTTAAGCGATATATCCAGTTTCCTATAAAAAATTCCTAACAGTCATGTGGGCAAGATATCTGTCATTTGGGGCAATAGTGAGAGAAGACCAATGAGATTCTCAGGCCAATCTCTGTGGTTCTCCTGGAGTTATTAACTGCAAAGGCTAGCAAAAATCATTAGACCAAAATGATTAGCAGTTGGGATACACAGTAATTCACAATACTGAGTCCCCTTGCAACTGAATTCTGAGACATGTTAGTATGAATTGCTTCTTGTCTTATGAGACATTACATGACCCCCAACCTTCAAAATAACAAGTAAACATAATGTATGGATGAAAAACTGGCATTTTAGTCTGCCTTTTTAAATTACTTTGTAGTGTTATTTACTCTTTCATATAATGTACACATGCTGTGGAATACTGAACATTTGCATATCCCAGCATGTTCTACTTTTTATGCAAATTTCAGATTTGATGTATGATTCTGTCATGGTGTAATGATTCAAATGGCCAACAGCTACAAATAACAGTTCATTACATATAAATTTTACAACCTTGGTAAGCATTTCCAGATAAAAAATCTTCATCTGAAGAAAATACAAATTGCTGTTCCTCGAGCAGTGTTTTTTTCAGTGCCTTTTGATATTAGACAATGATCAAACTATTGAATACACTGAAAACAATACATTCAATACAAAAGCTCTGAAAAGGACTCAGTAGTGAATGGCATTAATTGATTGCAAAAGATGCTTCCTGACCCAGTTAAAGCAACACCTCTAACAGTTTAGAAACTCAACAAATTAAAAACAGCTTAGGAAATTATTTAGGACATTACTACTTAAATAATTATTTAACTCATAATTATTAATTTAATGCAATTCTAATTCTAGAAAAGACTGGTCCAAATTCTAGAACCAAGTGCTTTTGTTAGATCAAATTGAGTCGATTTTATGTCAATTTTCGGCAATGACTCCCCAAGTCTCTGGGCTCATTCCAATGAAGGCCAGGAAAACACTAAAATTATCATAAAAGGCACAAGGATTTTTATGTGCTGTAAGTTTTAGAAATTATATTAAGAAGTGGAATATTCCACAGATATACTTTACACTTATTGTTTTGGGCAGTATGCTAATATCCCATGTTACGATTGCCCTGTTTGTTAGTGATAAAGAATGAAAAAAAAAAAAAAAAATTGTGCTAAGTTTAAAGCTTATTTTAAAATAAGTTTCATTTCTCAGCTTGATGTGTAATTAATTTAGTCACCGTTATGGATTTAAGCACCCAGCAAGTATCTGACCTTTGGAGGGTAAGAAAAAGTTTATTTTGAATGTAGTAGTTGATTAAAATTGGCAAAATTGATTCATAGCTGTAATCAGAAAGAAAATAAATATTGGAAATCAAAGGAAAAAACTTGTTTTCCTATTTGGGTAAGAAAATGTTCAACACATTGCAGAAAAATGTGTGTAGCTACTAAACATATTTTCCTGATAAATGAGCAAGAGCAAAAAATTACTTCTTTGTGTTTATTATGAATGTGCGAAATGTGAAAAAATGAACACGTGAAAAAAAATGTGTGTAGCTACTAAACATATTTTCCTGATAAATGAGCAAGAGCAAAAAATTACTTCTTTGTGTTTATTACTATGTGATTTTATGAATTAAGAAATGTGAAATATTATTAAATTACTTCAAACACTACTTTCTACCCTAAATCTGGTTTACTAATTTTAAAGATAATATTTATTACTTTTCAATCCTCTTCAGCTCCAATATGTGTCTCCTACTAACAAGAAATTAGCCACCCCTTTTTACTGCATTGTCTTCTTCATATAAATGCAATTTTATATACTAATTCCAGCTATTACATTATAAAGAATTTAGTCTACGGAAAAGTCACTTCATGTTCTCATTATGCTGCCAGAGTATAACTTTGAAATTTTAAATGAAAAAACTGAGAATGCAAATGTCCTTTTAAAACAAATGCTAACAAAATGCAAAAAAGAAAACTCTATTATAATACAGAAATAAAAAAAACTGCAAGTAACTTCTTTTCTTGATATTTTCTGTCACATTGCAAATATTAAGTAAATCTTTCATTTTCTAAAGTATTAATCCTAGAAATGATTTCCAGTTACAGAAGTTTTTAAAATAAGATAGAGAAAGTTATTGAAATAAATTCAATTATGTATATCAAAGAAGTCTATAAATATAAAATCAAATATTGTATATGGTATCGGTAGCACAAAAATTCCAAGTAAAATATTAAAGTAAAATATTCATTATGCCTAATCATGTATATATGCATGTATGTAGGTGGGTACCTATATATTTATTTAAACACATAAATATGGCTGACAAATTCACAAAAATATTCAAGAATGAATTTTCTGACTTAGATACCATTTCAATGCTTAAATTTTCAAACAAATTTAGGGAGCATTTAAAAGACAAAAATGCTTGTTCGGCAATTAATGGTTCTATATTATAAAATGGTATCATATGTTATGAAATTTGTAGCTTGCCCACTGAATTCTTACATCACATAGAATTCAATAGTAGATTCACATTTAGAATTCTCAATAGTGTGTTAAATGTTGCCATAAATTTTCCTACTTTCTATTGTCATTTCTGAATTCATCATATCAATGCATAGCTTTCTTAACAAAATGACCTGCACAACTATCTTTGTCTTTTTAACTTTATTATTAAGCATCCCTTTCTTTGCACTTACCCCACACAAAATTCAATAAGCAAAATCACAAAATTTTTAAAAAAACAGCATATCATTAGGATTCCTGATATAGTATTAAGTGTTGCCAAAATATTTTTTTTAATTCCCTATATCATTTCTTTCAAAATAATACATAACAATAACATTTAGAGGCAGTATCCATTTTATTTGAAAAGTAATGTGAACATAAAAGTGGTGCGGAGAAGAATGAGAAGCGAGCACATCTGGCGATAGTAAAAAATTAAAAATAGAAACATCTACATAAACCTACCATCCCAGAGTTCAGTTTTTACTATAAAAATAACCATTTCTCTCATAAAATGAGTCAATGGTTAATAATTTAACTTAAATGGGCAACACAATACCTAACAGAACTTAAAAATACACTCAATTTTCTCACCTCAGAGTATGGCCCAAACCACCAGTTTGTAGGATCAAGTTCCTTGCTCTCAAATCATCCAATAACTCAAATGCATTGATTTCAGAACCATCAATAGAAATGTCATCATCTAATGCAGGCATCTTCAAAGAAACCTGATGGTTGCCACCAACGACTTCCAGTTGATGCCATTCTCAGGAAGAACTATAGGATAAACATGAGCATGAGAATAATTCAGTTCATGTAGTAGATGCCATTGTATGCCTGAGAAATGAGCAAAATAATTGAAAATTTTAAAAAATTAATAAAAAGTGATATAACTAAATATTACTGAAATAGTGAAACCATTTTAATGCATTAAAATATTTTTTGTGCGTATGTGTGTACTTATAAATATTTATGGGGCAAGAAAATAAAAATTCAGCACTAGAAATTGATGGATGATTGTCAATCAAATGGTAACTTTAATGTACATTTTAAATTGCAACAATGTATTGTTCAGTTAATGAAGCAAAGAGAACTTGAATGATTCTTCTTTTTAGTGGCAACCAAATTGCTGATAAAAAATCTGAAATTTTAACAACTGTTTCTATGCAGTGGTTTTATTGTTATATATAAATACCAGCATTTAGTTACTTTCTTCAAGTGTCTTCTCATAACAATGAAGCAGGAAATGAAATAAGAACTGGATAATAACAAAAGCCTTCATATGCAGAAAAGGTTTCATTCACCTTTTTTGTATATTATATGCACAATGAAGTGCATATGCATATCTACACAATGCTATTCATCCCTAAGGATAAATATCATTATGCAGATATTCTGGTACTGCTGCCTCATTTTTGAACATGTGAAGATATTCCCATAGGATATGCACAAGTGTAAGTTTAGCATCTTGAAGCAATTGCTAAAAATCCTGATCATTTAAGAAGCAATCTTGAATGATCATGATCTTTGTAGTCTCAGCCATAATCATGTGTAGCCAATAACACTAAACCTTAGTTCAGGTGATCACCTAACTACATGAGCAATCCAGACAGGGCGCCTCATTTAGTTGACTCTTTACACCTGATTAGATAAATTGTGACTACTTATTTCTTTGTACAGACTTCAGAAGCCAAAGAACTGTGATAGTACCACATCCAACAGCATGCCACTGTATCAGCATCTGCCTTCTACGAGTTGTAGAACACAATGACTGGTTCATTGATGAATGGAAGCAAGTGGCATGCAGGTATGAGTCTTGATTCCAAATGCAAATGCATTAAGCTGACTTTAAGGTTAGAAATACGGTACTATCCTTATAAAGCCAAACTTCCAATGTGCCAGTCTGAAAATGGACAAGGTCATGATGATTGTGATGATTCAGTGATGGTTCGAGACAGCTTCCTTGACAATGTTTGGGATCTTTGCTATTTGAACCAACAAGTATGTGAAACTGCTCAAAAGTCACATTTCTTATCACTTTTCTGCTATCTGGATGAAAATAGAGTGCTCCAAAAAGACAATTTCTCTTCTGAGGAGCATTTTACAGAATTCTCTTTTCTGAAATGGCCACCAAGAACCCAAACTTATTAAATGATTTGGTATATCTTGAAGGAAGAGGTGTGATCCAATCATCCAACATCACAGTGTTCTTAATTTATTCATGGGAAATCCTAGATGTTTGGCACGGCTTACCCCTGAAACATTTCTGCTGACTTTTTGAAAGTAAGCCTCAGCATGTGATAGACATTGTCAGGGTTAACAGAGAAATAACTTATTACTAATCAAGTATCCGTAATACAGTGACACTTCAGCAGACATGTTATGATTACGTGAATACTATGTATAATATTTTAATAATTATAAATGCATTACTTAATAATTTCTTTAAAGTAAAGGAAGAATGGCATTATGTAAAAATAATGGAATAACTCAAAAACATTTTCAAGCATTTAAATAATATCTCATGTAATATTCAATTTGATAAAACATATTTACCTCCATTTGTAAAAAATTGTAAGTATGCACTGTGGTTCCTAGAAGTTGCACCAATGCATGCCAGATTGTCTCCATATCTTCCAATTCGTACAATAAATCTAATGAATCAAAAAAAAAAAAAAAAAAAAAAAAGTTTTCCTCTTCTCCAAGTTATCCATATGAACAACTTTACCTGAATGTCTGCTTTTCTCAGTTTTTTGCTCATTTGGTCAAAAACTGTTAAATTTGGCATATTAATGGACAGTAATTCTTTCTTTGATAGAACAGTCAAAAATCTCTAAAATACAATTCATATGAATTTGATCATGTTTAGAATAAATTTTAGTTTATAATTAAAATTAAAGAAATACGTCTTAAGTTTGGCTATAGTATTTCAAGCAAGAAATTATCCAACAATGATGAGATACATTTATATGAATTTGAGATAGATTAACTGTATCACTTGTCAAATTGTTGCCACCAAATATTAGCATCCTGTATAATAAAGAAGGATCTACATGAATTTATGCATGTTTCTTGCATTGTGAAAAAACAACCGTAGAGCAATCAAATACTAAATAATGCAGTCCTCCACCCAAACATGTGCATCTGGAAGTCCAAAATTTGAATTTGTTTTATTATCTATTTCATGTTTTACAAAAATTTAATATATTTTTGGTTAACAGACTCAATGATTTCAAACCAAGCAGTGGCAACACCGTACGAGTTTGGTGTTTGGCTGCTTTTAAATATCTTGCGATTTTGCTGTCAAATTGAATTTAATGTGGTAAAACTGAATACTGATATACAGCTGATATAATAAACTGAGAAAAGACTGAAAAAAATTGAAAAATTGCAGAATGTATTCCTAATATATGTCTTTTATACTGTCTCAACAGTTAAAGCCCATTCTAAAAACAATTTGCTCAAAGTCCAGAAATGAATTTTCTGGTCTTTTATTAATACTTCAAAAATTTAATGTATTTTATGCATTTTGAAATTATAATATGCATTAATATACTATGAAAAACGAAGTTGATGATACGTATAAACAAGCATCATAGCATGATATTTGAATTATACATTTAACTTAGTTATATATTTAATTATACAAATTAAACTACTGCTTATTATAAAGAAAACTATACAGTCAAAAGTCTTTAATCCGGACTCGTCGGGACTTCGGCGATTCCGGATTATCGATTTTTCCGGATTATAGATCATCAGTTTAAATCTGGTAAGATGGCATGCAGAAATTATAAAATTAAAAATATGAAACCGTAATTTATAAAATAATGAGCAATTATGATCTAAAGGGTATGAAAATTTACCAAAAAAGAAGCCTAATATTTATTTGTTTACTTTATTAAACATTTCTTTCAACGCGTGGATGCGTAAAGCATACCTTACGCATAGCCGAAATTAGAAAATTGCAACCAGAAAACTATTTGATTTGTATTCATGGTATTTATAATGACGAGGAATTTGATTTAAATCATATCAAAGACGGAGTACATCGAAATTAAATACTACATTTAGTAAGGAATTATAAGCCGAATAAAATAAAAACATCTGCTCTGAAGATAACGATAGTGTTGACAAATCAACTTCCAGTTCATTGCGCGCCGGCCGCGATGTCTCCCCCCCCCCCGCGCACAGCAGCGTGAAATTGATAAACAGATTTCGGAACGGTTAGATAAACAAAGAATGTGCCTTTATCCATTTTTTTTAGCAATTCGTTTTTTGTTTGATGGACATCGAAACATACTTTCGTTTTCTAGATCCTTTGGGAGCTCCAGCATCGGAAATTCTATTTGACATAATCAAAAGTTCAAGCTTACTTTTAGAAAATTGCTCTTACAGTCTTCAAAAAATAATAAGCCGGATCCAATTCGAAGATTAAGGAACAACGCAATCATCAACATTAACTGAAATAGATAATTAGATAATTTTAGCTTATAGCGTCCGTTATACATTAAACGTGCACGCAAAAACGTATTCTGCACTTGCGCAGACGCATATGCGCAGTCGTAAATGTCTTGGGCGCACGAGTAAAACGCCTATGCGCATGCGCAGAAAGATTTTAGCTTTGAGGTCCGGATTATGGGTGTCCGAATTAACGACTTTTGACTGTATTTAAGGAGGCAAAGAGTTGCATGTGGCTGTTCAGTTTACTGGAGGAAATTTTGATGAATTATAAAATTTCTGACCACACCCCAAATTATGACAAAAACTTAACAGTGCTTTGTATTTTCAGTTTGTTTGTTTAATGGTTTTTATGGGGAAGCACAATATTCTTAAAGTGAAGATGCCTTAATGGAAGACCTTTTAAGGGAAACTGTCTCCCACTCACATTACACAAGGAGAAAAGTAAGAAAATGCCCATGTAGCTAGTTAATTTGGGAGCATCGCATTTTCTGAACTGACGAAAATTTTAACAAACTGAAATGAAATTTCAGAAACATTTCCCTTGCAAAATGCGTAAAAGAAAAATTAATCTTATCCCTTAGACACATTTTTTAGTAACTTTGCTACTCAGTCATTTGAGCAGCTTTCTCATTTTATTGGAATGTTTGTATAATTAATCAAACATTTTATTTTGTGTTATATTCATATTTTACATATTTTTCATTTAAAATTTCATATATTTTTCGGTTTTCCCATGAAAAATGAGTTCAAATCAAAATTCCAAATTGTCTCACATGTTTTGAACTCACAATATGATCTCACAAGCTTTTGAGATTATGTTTTAATACTATTTATAATGTCTTTAAAGCTTTAACTATTCTAATTAATGCTGATTGCAATTTATGTATCTAACACAGAAATATCAAATATGAGATTAAACTACAAAGTCAGAATGTAGCCATTTGCCATGTATGTTATGCTTGCTGTTTCATTTCATTTTAAAATAATAATTTAGAGGTATATGCATCAGTGAAATTTTTTTTTATAATTTATCCTATGAAATTTAATTTAATTAAATAACTGCAAATTAAAATGAAAGTACTGTCTTCCAGGAATAGAATTTGAATTTACTGTTGTCTAATCATTTTTTAAAATAGTATGTTGAAGACAGAAATCTCAAGCTAGCTGAATAAACTAATTACTTTTAAAACTTATTAAGGAAGAGAGTTATTTATAAATCCATGCATTTTAGCTTTCTTTAAGTTAATTTGTCTAGATTCTTTTTAAATCAAAATTATATAGAATAACATGTTTAATTTTTCCTCTTCAAGTAAGAACGCGAGTAAAATGCAAATAGAAGAAAACACAAATAGCCTGCTCTGTAGAGGCTAAAAGTTACCGCTGTTAATTAATATGCAAAATTTGGCAAATAGTTGCCAAATATAAGCCAGTTGAAGACATGCAACTTAAGCAAAAGTTAACACTCAAGTAAGACAGGTAGAGATGCAAGATATTTTCTCAATGGAAAGGTATTATTTACTTGCAACCTGCCTCATTTCCCTTTCTGTGTGTGGGGGGAGGGGGAGAAATTTCTGCTCTGAGTATACTAATTTCCCTTTCGGCTAATCTTCCACTGACTGAAAAGACACCAAATCATTCAAAATATCTCACCAATGTTCAGAAAAAATATGTTTTCTGTAATATGCAGAAACCGGTTTATTTGATTATGACAAAGCATGTCTATGTGCATATATCCCAAAACTAAAGAAACAATTAGAAATAAAATTAATCAGTCCATTTTATAAAAAGAGCCATAAAGAAAAAGGTGTTACTTAGTCTTCGGTGTCTGAAAGAGTATTGCTTGGCAGCATTGTTTTACGCCAAGCAGAGTTTGGCTTTAGTGTAACCCTAAAGTTATTTCGTTTTTGCCTTATTAGTATGTATGATTTTTGACTTGATGTGGGAGCATATGGTTGTTCGCTTTTAACTAAGTTACATAGGTAACTATAAGCACATGCGTGTGCTAGTATTCAATAATGTTGTTTTTGTTAAAATAAATTTGTTATTGTTAATATTACAGTCCACTTACTGAAGTTAAGTTTCAGTTTCATTAAATAAGTTGGAGCTATCTTCGGCAGGAACAGCATCTCATAAATCTAAATCAACTGCCACCAGAATTCTTGGGCCTGGACCACAGAAAACAACAGCAGTATCTTCCACAAGAACAGAACACAGGTATGCTATTCTTCCACCTACTACATAATTGCAATATGTTGGATCAAGACTTGCTTCATGGAAACTTTCTTTTAGAAATGTCTAAAATAAAAGAAATAATAATAATAAATATTTCCACCTTAAATATACAATGAAAGACACAGTATTAATAAACATTAATTCCCTTTTGTATACTAAATTTTTTGATGAAGCAAGTTCTAATCAGATTCAGCAAAGCCACACAAATATTTCCACAAAAATAATTATTATGTTATTATTATTTGCGGGTAAACAGCCTCAAATATTTAAATAAAGCATACAACTAAGAGGTCCATGATGAGTAAACCAGGTGTAATTATGAGTGTATGAGGGTAAATTTACGTATAATAATTTTTATCAGTTTTTATTTATTTACGGTGTCATCAATTACGATTTTAAAATAACTGTGTTTGTCTTATTGAATAAAATTCAGGTACACAAATAAATGATTACGACAATGCATGCAAGGATTATCCAGTCCTCGAGGCTTCCTTCTATTTAGCACTTTTATTTAGCACTATTTATTTAGCTTAAATTAAACTCATTCATGTTTGCAACATACAGAGAGAAGTACATGAGGAAAGCAATGAAAATATTCACACAGATAATATTTGAACTGAAATAGAATGAACTGCCAATGTACAATTACTTTATCCACTTGATTTATGACACATAAATAAATTTGTGTTAACAGTTGAATATTCATCCAGAAAGTTGTATTTGTCAGCAATTTTCAAATGTATTTTATTTTTATTGCACGCAAACATTTGGTCATGAACCTCAGTAGTAATTAATTTCTGCTTAATTAATTTATTGCGTTCATACATGTACTGAATTACAAAAGCCCTAATATAATATATTTAAAAGAAACAGTAGACTACATATATAGTTGCTAATTTGTGATGCAATGAAACTTGTTAATAAATGATACCTAAATAAATTTAAAATAAAAAAAAATTCTCATTGATGATGACTAGAAGATTCAGTCAATTTAACAGTACAATTTTGTTCCTACAATCATAATTCTAGACATGGCAAAAGAAAAACTCTGGCACTTAGGAATTTTTATGATGAATGGCTTTCAAAATAGCTTTGTTTATTTATTTAGATTTATTTGCCAATGTATGCAGTAAAAGACTATACATAGGTGAATGAATCTAATAAGGATGCATTTTCTTATATTTAGTAACAAACAAAATACACAAGTTTGTTTTCAATACCTGACAAAATGTAGGCAAAAGCTATTCCATAGTGATTTAAAAAATTGACTGGACAGCTATAGCTACGAAGCATGGACAGTATAGCAACATTTAAAAAAGTTTTCTGAAGTCAATTAACTTCTGTCCCTTTAAAAGTAATCCTCTTCTACATTCATATGTCATTCTAGCATTAGAATCATGCCTGGAATGCCTATGCCAAAAATTATTTAGCCAAAAATTTCATGCTACACAAGAACGTAAATTTAACCAGTTATGATTTAGAAATTTACACTTCTCCTTTTCATTTCCCTATCAGAATGCAAACTAGTTCGAGAAAACTTGAGGATTACAGATTTTAAGACAAAGCCTGTTTCTGCTTCTCGAGGCCACATTTACTAGATTTCACTATCTCAGTAATTTATTATTATATCTATCTCACTATCTCAGATAAGATCACAATCCAAAGTCTCTGGCTTTGGATTGTGACTGCTGACATTTAAATTGTTATGCTGGTGAGAAGTTTGAGCCAACTTCCCATTAAATGAATTGTGCAATATTTGATTACTGGATTAGTTTTAATTTGAATTTGAATGTGACTTTTAAGATAGCTTGCGACAAGTCATTGTTTGACTTTGTTAAACATGAGATGTGCAGTTCAAGGATCTGATTTAATAAAAAGGTTATATTTTAACCATCAGAAGTCTTTGTCAGTATCTTCAGCCAAGCAATAATTCACTTCAAGTCCATTAGGAGTTTGAATATCAGTTTATGCTGTGAAAGAGCATCAAACTCTATACACTGAAGAGAGATTTTTTTCATTCCTACCTTCAAAAAGTGAATACAGCAAGCTACTGTGTATTGTGTAGGTTGTATTTTATGCAACAAAAAGCAAGGAAAAGGTGGTGGGAGCATGAAACCAATGAAAATGTACCTTTAAGCACACTTCATGAAGATTTTATAGGACCGTTACTATAAACAAACAAGAATTGACCCCTGTAGATGCTTTTATAAAGTTTGTCTAGCTGTATCAGTAAAGCTGACATCAGCCCAAGATTCATCTTTGGAGATCCTTTTAGAATAATTACAAACAGAGATACGGCTTTCACCTCAAAGAACTGCCCAGATGATTACTGTGCAAAAGAAAAAAAACCAGTACATATTCTAAACTACAGGCATTCTGTGAGGAAATGGTCAAGCAGAAAGTATCCATTCAACTTTCATTCTAATTCTAGTCTTAGCCAAATTGTCTACTGAAGATCCAATAAAATGACACAAGTATGTTGCAGATGCCCAATGCATGTTAAACAGCCCTAACTGCAGAAGCACTAAGAGATCAGCATTTGTCAGCAATCTGTCAGCAGATCTGTCAGCAAAATATATTTTATTAAAGCAAGCAATTCATACAACAGCAGAATATTACAAAGACTACTTTTTAAGGATACATGTGCCCTCCCCCTCTTTTATTCTATGGCATCTGGAGCCAAACCTCATGCAGACATAAGGAAGAAACAGAAATAAGTGATTATCATTTACAAGAAAATTGTTTTTAACAGCTTATTATTTTTTTCAATTCAGTGTGACCATAACATTAGAAATGTAAAATTATAAAGAGACATAGAAAGGTGAATGCATTTCAGATTTATGATGCCATCTAAACCAATAGTAGAAAAAAAAATTAATGAAAATATGTCTTATAAAAAATTACTTTTATTCACCCATTAAATATTAAAACTGCTAATGATGTGATGTTTGGTTCAGCAAAGTTTAAAACTGATTATATTTTATTCATTGTTACCTCAATAACTCCTCCAGCAAAAAAAAAAAAAAAAAAAAAAAAAAAAGATCAGTTGAATTAAAATTTTCTTCTAACAGATTAGCACGATCTGCAGCACTGCTTATGATGGTGTTGTCAATTGCCCAACATACCTTAAAAGTTCTTCTACCACTTACAGATTCTTGATACCACTGAATACAAATATCAGTTGATTTTGCAGAGGCAGGTAAACCCAGTATATGTATTGTTATTTAAACTGCAGGTTAAAATATGAAATAAAATTATGTAGAATAATTACTTCAAATTATTATTAAAACTCTATCTTTTTCATCTTTATACAGTTTCAAGGAATAAACATAACTTCAGGAATAGACCATCCTTAGATATATGAAATACTAATAAAAAAAACAAATATTTTAGAAAATCAAAGTTTCTTACATTCAAATATTATTTTAGCTACAGTAGCTGAGAACAATGGGGTGCCCATTTGTTCCAAACTAACTGCAGCAGATTTATCTTGAATAATGCTGTTGTGAATATTTGTAAACATCTGAATCCTTTCTGATTACACTTTTTGTTTTTCTGCATTCTTGTGGTGTTCTATTCATTTATTGTTTTTAGGCTGATAATTTTGGGGTTTACTTGATTTAATAATTCATTTCCTTTATTCCTTGGCAGCAATTTTTGCTACCCATTTGGGAATAAGAACTTGTCAACTTGGTGCTTTTATGGGAGATCTGCAAAAACACATTTTCAAAGCCAGGGTTCGTACACATTTCTGCACATGGAAATTAAGTAGTACTTTTAAAGACTTTTAAGGACCATTAATGAAAAAAAATTAAGGACCTATGAACAAATGGGAACTGAATAAATTCAATTAAAAATATTATCTATGCCTGAACTTCACTTTTGTAACACCATCCTATAAATAATATATAGATCCGTAAGTAGGATGCATTATTATTAAGCATAGCTTAATTAACATTATAATTAATAAGTGTGAGAATAAAATTAACTTTATGGAATTTATCAAGTAGCATTAAATATTTTACACTTATAATAATTGGACATATTTGAAAGAAGATAAGTGGCATTTTATTTATGTTTTACAAATAGTTAGCTTTATGTTTTTATTATTATTAATGTTTCATTTTGTAACATACTCACTCAGTCTAGAGATTTAATAAATAGTAAACAGATTTTATGTCAAGGGGCATAGGTTAAAATGAAATCATAATCAGCATGATTCATAACAAAAGACTGGTTGTTGTCATTGCCTAGAAAGAGACCTGCTGATCAAAACAAACCTGAGAGGCCTGATGTAGGCACGGTTGGCAGGTTCTGAAAGTTAGCTGGGCTCCGTCTGACGCAGTTACTGTCATAATTTCATGTAGAGTTTCAGGGGTTGCGACTCAGATAATATACTTTAAGGTTCTAATAAGCCAATAAAGCATCAGAGGTGATAAGTTATTTTTCAGTATTTTAAGTGTCACTAGATGCGAAGAATAAGTTTTACATAAGTTTTTACATTTTTGTGTTTTATGTTGTGATCACGGTAAGGGTTAATGAAAGGCAATAACTCGCTTTAATATGCAGAGATAATTTTTAAAGGTAAGCAGTTAGTTATAAGTAATTAAATTAGGTATTAGATAACCTCAGTCATTATGGATTTACATGGTCACTATTAAATTTTATTTATTTTTTAACAATATTTGTTACAATATTTGTTAAAAAAGGCCCTAGTAAAATCACAATCTCATGAAATTTCACAGTTTAAAATACCTATAATTTATGACATTGATTCTAAAACGATATTAGGATAATTACACATTAAAAGCTACAAAACCATTTATATTTTGTAGCAACAACACTCAACAAAATAGTTATGCATCTTTTTAATTTGAAGCCTTCCCAGACATTTTGAGTAATTTATATCGATTTCCTTCTCTTGAACCATCTTTACTAACAATTATAAATTTGTCTCAATATGCGAAAGAATGTCCTCACTAGTTTCTGCGTGTTTTATCTCCTAACCTGTCAACCTCTCCACAATGTACTTATGAGGGTTTATTTGATCTGGTAAAAGTTAAATAGCCCCCAAACCCCTGACAGTTGTGAAGCAAATTATTGCTGTGTCTGAAAGTAACTACAAAGTCAGACAAAGGTTTAAATAAGCTTCTTATTTAAAAAGAACTTAGACATAGAGGCATGTTCTTATGCTAACAAAATCAACTGCAGCTCGTGGTGGTAATGTAATTAAACAAGAAGAGTCAAATTCAAACTAAAAATATCAACTAGCGGTCAAAGACTATGCAACTTAATTTCATTTAACTCACTCTATCGTTGTAACAAACTCAAATGTCGGCAACGGTAATGCAAAGACAAATAATTACAAATTATGAGAGCTGGCAGGAACTAATGCAGGGAGCAAGTGGAGGTCAGAAACACTCTTGTCTTACATTCCAAAAACCTCAGTTTAAAAACTGTCTAAGTGATTTGCATTCTGGTAAGGAAATAGAAATGGGAAATTAGAGTAAAGGCTGAAATTGTAAACAACTGGGTAAGTTACATAATAATAACTGTACATATCTTTGAAGAATAATTTTCTTTCTCTTTATGTATTCAGTTTATTTCTTCTCCATTTCCTTTTCATTTTAGAATTTTTAGATTTAATTAAAGATTTCTGTTATTCTAAATAAAATAAATACATTTAGAATGTATAGAAAAAGCAGCTAATTTTATTTCTTTAGTAATATGAACATTCAGAAGAAATATGAAATATAGATGATAAGGTTCGGTTACAGAGCTGA